GGCAATTCTTAGGCGAGATTATTTTTACTAATCGCCGTCAGCGTAAGCCACCCGAATAATACTGTGTCCTTCAGTCTGACTCGGCCCACAGTTAACACATTACTGTAAGCATAGTACACAGAGTACTTTAACGTAACCTCGTGGGATACGGCGGGACAGCTAAACCATCGCAATGAAGGGCAAAGGAACTAGATGACTGGGGTTCAATAACCGGCGAAGACACGATTTTTCCGTACCCCACTACCGGAACTAGAATCATACGTAGTTCCTATGCAAAGGTCAGTGGGGATAAACCGGCCAGAACTTGGCTCTGATCACTCGCTCACCGCACTTATAGTGCCGGGGTTTATAATGTGTAAAGCTATAGTATTTTCTCCAGTATTCATGATGTGGTACTTGATTTGAGACTCCTTTAAGGAGATGTTTCCGCAAAGCAATTCCAATATTGCAAGTATTTAGTGAATACGGCAAGACAAGATAAATTGTGATTTACAAATGACAATATTCATTTTCTTTATTTTGGATACATTATTTCAATATTATTGACCAAAGACCTTTGTCAAAAGTACTGTGTGACCTATCCTATGATTTTGACGTAAATATGTCTATACGGAAGGGTCATTTGGCAAAAACAGCGTTACGAAGATGTGTAAGATCCATACCAACAATATGGACCGACAATGGTCAGATTTTATATGAACTCCTGCGTGCATTACAATGCAAGAAAAAGGATTCGAATTTCTAACACACGCTTGCAACAATATTGGCCGAGCATGTCGTAAGGCTCTTTTCTCTTTTATTATGCATGCTGTATAATTGCCTGAATAAATCATATTGCAATCCTTTCCTATACCTAAGAAACTAATTGTCATGTCATCTGTTTATTCGGCATTGTTGTGTTTCATTACTGCCGTCAACAATCCGCTTTCGTTATTGTGGAAAGAGCCGAGCTGTGAATCGCTTGTAGAAGAAGTGCGTCGTAGAGCAGATGATTTTGTGCTGGTAAAAACGTTTTAAAATATCACAAGTACTTATCTTATATAACAATTATTAAGAAATCTGTGATACTGCCCTCCACTCTCTCCATTTTAGTTTTGATCAAATTGGTCATTGCGGGTGGACATCGTGGTCTCCAACAATTGAACAAAGTTTGAGGCAAGGTATTCCTATTTATTATTATTGTTCATCACATTTAATGTTTTCATCTGCATTTGTGAACTCGTGTAAGATAATTAGGCGTGTCTTCTTTTGACGTAAATACGTCTGTACGGAAGGGTCATTCGGCAAAAACAGCGTTGCTTACGAAGATGTGTAAGATCCAGCGCCGAGTCACATTTAAATGTTCATTCCTCAGGAATGGTAAGAGTAAGGGCAATGTAACCTATATGTAAAATGATCAGTAAATAAGGACCTTTAAGAATCTGTAATGTATTTTATTGTAATTATAATTGTTTATACATTTATTGTAATTTTAATGAACCAATGTGTACAATTTTCAATGCATCTGGCGCGTTAAGCACCCGCCTCTCGAAACCGTAAGAGCAGACCGTATGCCAAGTCCAATAAAAATTCACAAATTCCAAGGTTACAACAAATTTATAACTGTTTGTTACTCAGTAGAAAAACTTTGATCTTGGCAGTGTGCACCCACACGGAAAACCGATGGCGGTAAATCTGTGGGTAGAAATTCATGAGCTAAGATATATTTTTCGAAAACTAAACTATGTAGAGTAAGAGCCTTTTATTTTTGATAGGGTTC